AAAAAAATTATACTTTGAGATTCTGAAAGAGGAAAATTTATGTAACATTTTGGCCTGTATGTCATTTATTTTGCTTAGCATTATGGTTTCCAGGTACATCCATTTTTAAAACAAATGCATATTTTTAAATTTTTTTCAAGTACATACTTTAACAAAGCAGTCAATGTATGAGCCCTGTCTAAAAGGGACTATTATATCTTTCTTTTCAGATTTTTTTAATATTTGGGGTTATATTGAGCCAAGAATTTGGTATTAAGGAAATTAGAATGTTTGCTTAGAATAAAATTACAAATTTGATATGCTGATTGAAAAAGACAGGATAACTCTGGGACTTGTAAACTCATAGTATTACTTGATTAAATCTTTTAACATATCCAAAGAAAGACTATTACAGCTTTATCTCAGTGTACTCCCAAAGCAGCAACCATAGGTAGGCCTTTGTGGAGGTGGCTGGATCTAGGGTGTGTGCTGCTGGGATCAAGGATGTGACAATGGGATTGAATTCATGGTAGGATGTAAGGATGAAGGCTGCTCACCCTGGATGTGAGTGCCACCTGCACAAAGGGTGACTTGTGTGGATAAGATATAGGGGACAGAAGGACAGTCTCTGCTTATCCCTGTCTATTGTCACTTGCTGGCTGTTTTTTGCCTGCCCTGTTTTGCCATGGACAGTTTCTCCTCTCTGATGACCCTTTGCTGTCTCACCGTAACTTGGAAGCAGCCAACTATGAACTAAAACCTCTATAAACTGTGAGCTAAGTAAACCTTTTCTCCTTTAACTTTGAGTGTTAGATGTTTTATTTCAGCAACAGGAAAAGTAACTAAGAATTCAGTAGCAGAAGTGGGATTGTTTCAGTGATGTTCCCTGGCCATGTGGCTCAGGAGCCTTTGGAACTGGTTTGTGGGGAGAATTGGGAAATATTTGGAGATGTTAGCTGAGGAAGCAGCCCTGAAATGCCTTATTCTGTATTTGATAGGAGATTTTTGTCAGAACTCAGAAGACCAGAAGGCTGATAGAATGCTTCCAGGGTCAAGTGGGTTTTTCTTTTTTCCTTTGAGGAGGACTGCATTGGCTGTTGGACACCAGAACATGTGTGTTTTCCCCTGGTAGAAAGTCTGTCTGTATTTTACTTGTGTTGAGTGTTTGCTTGAGATTGAGACTAAGGGTGGAAGACTAATCTTGCAGAATAAATTTCAAGGTCGTCTAATGTTGAGGGGGTGGCATGGGTTAGCCATGCTGGGGCAGGGGTGTTAGCCAGATTTGTGTTAGGAATCAAGAGCAAAGAGCCCAGAAAATTGATTTTAAAAAATTTTGAAAGGGTTGGCCAAGTAGCTCAGGGGATTAAAGCACCTGAGCTACTTTAGGCAGATGCAGGGGCTGGGAGTTTGATCCCTGGTCCTACTATGCTGGTCCTGCCCCCAGGGCTGTGCCGGCCCTGCCCCCAGAGTGCCCTGAGATAGCCATTGAGACTGGGCATGGTGGTGCACACCTGTAATCCCAGCACTTGGGAGACTGTAAGCAGGAGGATCACTATGAGTCCAATCTACACAGTGAGACCCATGTAGACCCTGCAGACCCTGTCCTAAATACAAATACAAATACAAATAATAATAATAACAACAACAACAACAATAATAATAATTTTAAAAAAAATAAAACATTTTGAGTGTGGCCAGAAAGGAAGCTCTAGTTGCAGCATGTAAAGATGCAACAGAGGAGAAATTGGTTGCTGAAAAGACAAGTAAGAAAAAGCCAAATAATTCATAAGAGAACAGAGGCTGGAGGATATCACAAGAACCAGCATAACTCCACCCTTTACAGCCTCAAAATGTGAAAGACTGTGCTTTATCAAGAGAGCCACAGAGCATTGTGTACCAGAAGGGAGGCAGCCTAAGGAAGTTTTCCTTGGAATGGTTTATAAACACTGAACCCCTACAACCAAGAGAGAAGGGAAGCCTGATACTGCTCCAGCTGGAAGCAGACCCTTGGCATCCTCCACCGGGTGCTGGGTTTAGGTATATGCAGAAAGCAAGTGTTGTGCTTAGTAAGTCTTCCACCCAGATTTTAGAAGAAAGCCCAGAGAACAGAAAGCATGACCCTGAGATAACAGTGTGTGAAGCTGTGAGTATGAAGCCCAAGGTGTGGCGGTAACCCCAGAAGTTTAGAGAAGCTAGGGCCATGGATCATCTGAAGAAAAATGCAAGGAGGGAGCAGAGCTGACCCAAGAGAGAAACCCTGGGAGCAGCAACCACTGGTAGTGCAATAGAGGCAGAGCCACCCAGAGTCCTTTGGAGTTCACATCTTGCCATAGATTGCCTTTGATGTTGGACATGAAACTACAGGACTTAATATTTGCCCTTCTGGAATTTGGACTTGCTTTAGTTCCATTCCTTTTTATCCCCCTATTTGTACTGTTTGGAATGGTAATGTCTGTCTTGTGCAATTGCATGTTGGACATGTTTAACTTCTCTTTTATTTGTATAGAAGCTTGCAGCTAAGAGTTTACATTACACCGAAGAGGAGACTTGGGACTTGGAGGACTTTGGCAACTCTTAGAGATAGACTGAATGCCTTTTGTGTAAAGGGAGGTACACAAGTGTTTCAGGGAAGCTATGGGTAGAATGTCAAGGTTTGTATCTCAGTGTGCCCCCAAAGCTTCATACAGTGATAGGTGGGACTTTTTCAAAGGAGGCTGGATATAGAGTGTGTGCTGCTGAGATCAAGGATTTGATGCTAGGATTGAGGCTGACCCACCCTAGGTGTGAGTGCTACCCTCCCAAAGGGTGGGTATCCTGGATAAAGTGCAAGGGACAGGAGGAAGGTATTGTCCCTTGTCCTTTGTCACTTGCTTGCTGCTTGCTGTCTTCTCCCTGTCCTGATCTGCCATAGACTGTTTCTCCTCTGTATTGCTACTCTGCCCTGCTATCTGCCTAGGAGTCAGCCAACTATGAACTGAATTTCTATAAACTGTGAGCCAATAAACTTGTCCTCCTTTAACTTTGGGTGTTGGGTGTTTTGTCTAAGCAATAAGAAAAGTAACTAAGTCAGACTATATCCATTCAATCTATAGATTGTTTAGTCTTTGTAACAGGCCGGTGTTAGTAGGTGCCTTCTAAGCTGCATGTATGTGATAAGGAACTAAATGATAGAACTTTTTGCTGAATGGCTCCATTAATCTCTAAAGCCATCTGTCTTGTTGAAAATGTGTTTATTTCACTCTCCTTGTTAAAAGTCTATGTTCGTCAAACAATCTTGTGAGGAGGAATTGGCTCATCATTATGTAGGTCTCCCTCCAAGTAATATGTTGATTTTGGCCATGTTTCACGGACAACATGAAAGTTGCAATTTCTATTATGATATAATAGTTTGCAATTCTGGTTTTTCATCAGATTAATATTTTTAATATTCCCCCTGAAAATTATATTTGCCCACAGTTGTGATGAGAAAAATAGATTTTGTGGGGCTGGGGAGATGGCTCAGTAGAATAAGTGCTTGCTTCGCAAGCCCAAGGGCCTGAGTTCAATCCCCAGTTCCTCAAAAAAAAAAAAAAAAAAAAAAAAAGACTTTGAGCCTTGAGGACTTTGACAAATTTATCCAAATAATATCATCCTGTGAGATGTCTTAGAAGACAGCTAGCCAACTTTCTCCTTGGAAGGTATTTAGCATCACCGTTGTTTGAGAATATTTAGCATCACTTTTTCAGCTTGAAATTGTCAGTAATCACTGGTTGAGAGAATTAAATTGTGCGAAAGACCCATTTCTACTGAATGACTGTGTTTCATAAACTAAATCATAGGTGCTGTTGGGACTGTATGAACCTGAGATTATGTGTCTTTTAACATACAGATCCATAGGCTGATTTATACCACATTCCTGCTGTTTCCCTTCATAGCTTTTATATTATGTCTACTTCAAAGTCTCAGTGATAGTAAATAAACAGTAAATTCACAGCATGACAGCTCATGGCTTTCCTTCTCTATAGAACTTGTGAATATTAAGAAAATGATAAGGATCTATTGAAGGGAGAGGTAACTCTTCAGATTTCTTGTTCCCTGGCAATGTATAGTATTCAGCAGTGATTAAACAAGGTGATAGTATAATTATTTTTAGTACAGCATTTTTCATAGCATTTTATAAAAGCAAATGCTGCCTTCCTCTTCTATCTTTCACAAATGGCTTGGCACAAAATAGCATTCTGGAGAAAAAGCATATTGCAATTTTTTTATTTCAAATAGGGGAAAAACAGGTGAATTGTTCAAGGTATTGTAATTGTGTAATCTGCTTGCTAGGGTATTTCCACAGGATGTATATTATTTGGAGTCAAAGGATTGAATATACTGAACTTGTCAGAAAGAATATCAGAGTAGACTAAGTTCTATTTTAAGCTTCACTCATACTAGCTGGGTAATTTTAGCCACATTACTTAATTTATGTTCTTAATTTCCTCATAATTCTCGTGTTATTGTTAAGAGTTACTTGAAGTTACATGAAGAAAATATTTGATAAATCTCCTCGTTTAGGATCTGGCACATAAAATGCCCTCAATGAATGACAGCTTTTATTATTGTGACCATTAATACTATAACATTAAATACTTTTTTTTTTTTTCGGCACCAGGGATTGAATTTAGGCCCTTGCACTTGCCAGGGAAGCGCTTATTCTACTGATCCATCTCCCCGGGCCTTAAATACTACTATTAATGGTATTATTCTTGGAAAATGTCAGTGTTCATGTGTTTCTGTCTACTATAGGGAATATAATGAGATGTGTACTCTGATTTTAAGAAATTTATGATTAATTTCCTGGTTATAAAGGCTTCACAATCTACATTAGATCAACTTCTTTAAGTCAAATAGGGAAGAGTTATTACAGAATAATTTTGCATGGCAAAATTTCCCAATTTCTTATTAAGTATTTAAAAAGGTAGCTCTTCTGGACAATCTTTAAAATAATAATTCAAGAAGCCTGGAATGGGTTCATTCCTCTGTATTTTTGATTAGAATTCTAGGGGATTCTCTTACAGAGTTTCAATGGATGGGTCCTAACCTATGAAATACAGGTATTTCAGAGCTTTTGACTGTGGCTTGTGTGTGTGGCATAGCCTCTAATCATGGTTTCATTGTGTTCTGGGTTGTCAGAATGTGCTGTGTATACTGCTTTAAATGAAATTTATTATATTTTTGGAATGCTTTAAACTATATGTAGATCTGTTATATTTTATTACCATTGTTCAGCTTATTTCTTTGAGTGTTCAATTTAAACCCTTGATAGCTCACTGGTGTTAGAGAAGCTATCTTGAATTTTATGTTGGGTGTACTTAGCTTCCTTAGATGTTATTTATTCATAGGACATTTCTGTGATTAATCCTCTGTTCCATGTGAAATGTGCAGGTGAAGTAGTTTCTGGATCTCTGAGGATTGGCGCAGTTAGTGCACCAATATACAATGCCCATGAGAAAATGAAGGTGCCTGATGTTCTCTTCTATGACAATGTTCAGGTAAGGGCAGTGCTTTGTGTTCTGGGATAAATAGCTGCTTGTTCTGTGGTAGTTAACTTTGATCCAAGTGATACTGAGATGTAATTGTATTTGTAACTGCCTTCATTCAATTTACAAGATAAAATGTTGAACATCTTTCATTAAAGCATAAAACTGAAAATTACAAAGGTACTTAAATTGGAGGAGTGGCTGCTATGATTAGATAAGTTTTATATGGATATATATA